CGGGGCGGAGGAGGTGACGGCTGCTTTCGGGGTGTCCCTGCCGCCGCAGGGTCCATCCTTAGCCCGTGACAGAGCTCTGCCCAAATATTGGGGCTCCCCCCAGGGCCAGGCACGCCAGCCCCGTCGGCTACGCTTTGCCAGGCGAGCTGTGAGCTCCCGTCTCTGAAAACAGGAGAGCTCAAAACTTTTTTCTTTTTTAAATACCCCTTTTTTTCCCCTAATTGAGCCTCTAGCGTGGTCCAATGGCTCCGGGACATCGAGCCTTAATTAAGAATAATAAATCGGTCGTCGCAGGGACCCGTGATGAGGTGGAGCAGAGGCAGGAGAGGAGCCCGAGCTGGCACCCCGCCCCATCCCCGCAATTTTGCTCACCCAGAGGCCCCGGTGCTGTCACCCTCCGGACCCTCCGCGTGGCTGCGGGCCCTTACGCGGTCTCGGCACGCCCTCAGCTGGTCGCAGAAAATGCGAGAAAAGGGAAGGAAAAGGTTGGGTACCGTCTTGCCACTGTACCTCACAGCACCCACGGGTGCAAAGGTGTCAGCCGGACCCACGGGACACCGGAACTGGGCCCGCTCCCTGGGCAGGGGGATGCTGGTACCCAGGGGATGCTGGTACCTGGGGATGCTGATACCCAGGAGATGCTGGTACCCAGGGGACATTCTGGTACCCAGGGACATGCTGGTACCCACAGACATGCTGGTACCAGGGGATGCTGCTGCCTGGGGATACGCTGGTACCTGTGGGATGCTGGTACCCAGGAGATGCTGGTAGCCAGGGGCTGATGGTACTCAGGGCATGCTGGTACCAGGGGATGCTGGTACCCAGGGACATGCTGGTACTGGGGGATGCTGATACCCAGGAGATGCTGGTACCCAGGGCATGCTGGTACCCGGGGAGTCGCTGGTACCCAGGGAGATGCTGATACTCAGGAGATGCTGGTACTCAAGGACATGCTGGTACCAGGGGAGTCGCTGGTGCCTGAGGGATGCTGGTACCCAGGGCATGCTGGTACCTGAGGGATGCTGGTACCCAGGGAGAGCCTGGTAGTGAGGGATGATGGTACTCAGGGTATGCTGGTGCCCAGGGAGTCGCTGGTACCTGGGGGGATGCTGGTAGCCAGGTGATGCTGGTAGCTGGAGGATGCTGGTTCCTGGGGATGCTGGTACCCGGGGAGATGCAGGTACCCAGGGAAATGCTGGTTCCTGTGTGATGCCTGTACCCAGGGCATGCTAATACCCAGGGAGATGCCCTGAGAGCATCACAGCATTTTTCCCCAGGCAGAGTCCTGCTACTTGGGCAGGAGTCACAAGCTCAGCACGTCCCTGGGGGTTACAGAGCGATGCCAAAAGCCTAAACAGACGCACAGTGAGTGTAAGGGGATGACACCCCTGAAAACAAACCATCCAGGCTACAGCTTAGAGCATAGCCAAGGGACAAGCGGCTGCACTGAAGACAAATTTACTCCACTGAACTTCGAGTACGTGGTTGCTTCACCAGCAAAACTCAGCACCGTGAGCCACAGCACATCCCTGCAGCCGTGGGGTTTGCACTTGGTATGTGCCTGCTGTTTGCAACAGGTTTCCTCTTCAAGCAGATGTAGAGTTTCCTGGTTGAAGGGACAGGGACACCAAAGGTGAGTTTTGCTCCTGCTGCTCGTGGGCTGCCCCTGAGCACTGGGGGAGAGCAAAATGGGAGCAAAAAGTGACCCAGGTCCCAGCACAGGACAGAGCTGGAGCTGTGGGAGCGGGGCCAGAGGAGGCCCCAGCAATGATGCGAGGGCTGGAACCCCTCTGCTGGGAGGAAAGGCTGGGAGAGCTGGGGCTGCTCAGCCTGGGGAGGAGAAGGACAAGGGGAGA